GATCCATGGGAAAAGTATGGTTTCTCAGGTGAAGTTGTACAATCGCTCATGGCTTCCCCTGGATGGGAGTAGGGGTTCCTTTGGCTCCATGTTGTTCCCAGGTGGGGCACTGCCCCCTATCCCTGCTTTTCTTCATTCTTTATGGATTGTTTGCCTAGTCAGTCCCAATGTGAAAATCTGAGTATGTCAGTTGAAGGTGCTGAACTCACTTGCTCTTTTCATTCCTCTCTGTGAGTGCCACGGACTGCAGCTGCATCTCATCACCATCTTGGATTCATCTCCTCTCTTTTTATATCTACATATTAAATAATTCCTGCCATCCTATATTAATTTATAGTCTGCTATGGCTTGAGCAAATAAAGAAGTAATCTACTCAAAATAGTAATGTGAAAACTAAGGCTTACACTGGTGCATGTGAAACCAATAATGAAGCAATAAAGCCTCTAAGTCAGGTGTCCCCAAACTTTTTACACAGGGGGCCAGTTCACTGTCCCTCAGACCGTTGGAGGGCCACCACATACTGTGCTCCTCTCACTGACCACCAATGAAAGAGGTGCCCCTTCCCGAAGTACGGCGGGGGGGCCGGATAAATGGCCTCAGGGGGCCGCAGTTTGGGGATGCCTGCTCTAAGCACCACTTAACTTTATCACAGCTTACAAAATGCATAATGGAGAGCAAGCTATAGAATGGGCAGAATCAAGAGGACATTTCGAAAGAAAAAATCAATCCAAGGTTTCCTTGGGATGTAATTCTACGATAAGAGTCTATTTCTTAAAGACAATCAATAATTTGCAAAGTAAATTCAGGTTAGCAAAAAAGAATTACATAATTTTCTATTCCAGGTAAGTAAACATTGAATGGCTTTGTCTTTTTTTTTTTTTTTTTTTTTTTTTTTTGTCTAGAGAGTCTCCCTTTATGGGAGTCTTACATGATTATTCATAAAGGGGGGAATCATTATTCATGATTATTCATGTTCTGGGTGGTCCCCTGCATGCACATGTGCTATTATTGGGCATGCTAGTACATACATGGCATGTCTCATTAGCATCTTAAATCTCTATCCAGGGGTGTTTTTTTTGTTTTGTTTTGTTTTTTTCCTCCTTTCAATTATTTTCATTTTTGCTTCATATACCTTAGGGCTAAGATTTTTGGTCCATATATTTATAATTTTTACATTTTCTGGATTAAAGTATGCTTTTATTATGTAATGTCTTCCTTTAGAAACATTTTTTTGTCTTACATTTTGTTCAATACCAGTATGCCACTCTAGCTCTCTCTCTTTTTTTTGGAGGGGGGGGAGAGAGAAAAAAAGAAAGAAGAAAGAAAGAACAGAATGAAAGAGAGAAAGAGGAAGAGAAAGAGGGAGAGAGAAAAGGAGTCTTGCTTTATTGCCCAGGCTAGAATGCAGTCTAAAAATGGGTATTGAAAACCTCTTTTATGCCAATAATTGTGCTTAACAATGGAGACAGGAAGGAATAATGGAGGAAAATAACAACAAGCAGCCAACCAATATTTCATTTAAACCTGTGAAATGCTACGCAATTACTGAGGAGTGATTTATTTCCAATTATGTAGTCACTTTTAGAGTAGGTGTGATGTGGTACTGATAAGAATATATGTTTTGTGGATTTGGGGTAGAGAGTTCTATAAATGTTTATTTAGTTTACTTGTTCCAGGTCTGAGTTCAAGTCCTGGATATCCTTGTTAATTTTGTCTTGTTGATCTGTCTAATATTGACAATGTGATGTTAAAGTCTCCCACTATTGTTGTGTGGGAGTCTAAGTCTCTTTATAAGTCATTAAGAACTTGCCTTACGTATCTGGGTGGTCCTGTACTGGGTGCATGTATATTTATGATTGTTAATTCTTCTTGTTGCATTGATCCTTTTACCATTATGTAATGACCTGCTTTGCTTCTTTCGATCTTTGTTGCTTTAAAGTCTATTTTATCAGAGACTAGGATTGCAACTACTGCTTTTTTTTTTTTAACTCTTCATTTGGTTGGTAAACCTTCCTCCATCCCTTTGTTTTGAGTCTTTGTGTATCCTTGCATGTGAGACGGGTCTGGATGCAGCATACCGATGGGTTTTGGCTTTTTGTCCAATTTGCCTGTCTGTGTCTTTTGATTGGGGCATTTAGTTGATTTAAATTTAGGATTAATAATAATATCTGTGAGTTTAATACTGCCATTTGATGCTAGCTGGCTATTTTGCCCATTAGTTGATGTAGATTCTTCATTATGTTGCTCTTTACCTTTTGGTATATTTTTGGAATGGCTGATACTGGTTGTTCCTTTCTATGTGTAGTGCTTCTTTCAGAAGCTCTTATAAAGCAGGCCTGGTGGTGATGAAATTTCTGAGTACTTGCTTGTTCACAAAAGATTTTCTTTTTCCTTCACTTATGAAGCTCAGTTTGGCTGGATATGAAATTCTAGGTTTAAAGTTCTTTAAGGATGTTGAATATTGGCCCCCACTCTTTTCTGGCTTGTAGAGTTTCTGCTGAGAGATCTGCTGTGAGTCTGACAGGCTTCCCTTTGTGGGTATCCTGACCTTTGTCTCTGGCTGCCCTTAGCATTTTCTCCTTCATTTCAACCCTGGTGAATCTGACAATTATACGTCTTGGGGTTGATCTTCTTGACGAATATCTTTGTGGTGTTCTCTGTGTTTCCTGGAGTTGAATATTGTCCTGTCTTGCTAGGTTGGGAAAGTTTTCCTGAATAATATCCTGAAGAATATTTTCCAGCTTGGATTCATTCTCTTTGTCACATTCAGGTACACCTATCAAACGTAGATTAGGTCTTTTCACATAGTCCTATATTTCTTGGAGACTGCTCATTACTTTTTACCCTTTTTTCTCTAATTTTGTCTTCTCGTTTTATTTGAGTTGGTCTTCGACCTCTGATATCCTTTCTTCTGCTTGATCAATTCGACTGTTAAAACTTGTGCATACTTTGCAAAGTTCTCGCACTGTGTTTTTCAGCTTCATTAATTCACTTACATTCTTCTCTAAACTGTCTATTCTCGTTAGCATTTCGTCAAACCTTTTTTCAACGTTCTTAGTTTCTCTGCATTGGGTTAGAACATGTTGTTTTAGCCCCCAGAAGTTTCTTACTAGCCACCTTCTGAAGCCTGATTCTGACAATTCATCACTCATTCTCCATCAGGCCTTGTTCCATTGCTGATGAGGAGCTGCAATCCCCTGAAGGAGAGGCATTCTGGATTCGGATGTTTTCAGCCTTTTCGTGCTGGTTTCTTCCCATCTTTGTGGATTTATCCACTTGTCATCTTTGTAATTGCTGACTTTCAGATTGGGTCTCTGAGTGGACGTCCAGCTTGGTGGTGGTGATGTTATTTCTGTTTCTTTGCTTTCCTTTGGCGGACACCCCTCCCCAACAGAGCTGGACCTTCCTGGGTTCAGCTGTGTTCGCTGTGAAACTCTCCACCATCAGCATTTCCAATTGCTGTTTTTTTGTGGGGGTGGGACCAGCCAAGCCCAATCACCTGGCTGCCCGCCTCAGAGCCCCCTTTTTTTCTTTTCCTAATTGAATGGTCGATTCTCTCCCAGGTGCCCCAGTCCCCCGCCAAAAAGGTGCCAGGATCTATGCAATTTCTCATGTGGCGACCATGCCGGCTGAAACAGCGGCGCTGAGATTCGTGGCACTTTTCTGCTTGGGAATCTCCTGGTCTGGCTCCAGGCTTCGGTCCCCCTTTCAACCAGCTGAATGGGCAATTGCCTTCCCGGAGCTCCAAACACCAACTAAGAGAGCACCCAGTCTGGCATACACTGCACTGAGAACAGCCGCGCCAGCCGAAAGAGTCACTCTGGCGACCTGTGGGGCTCCTCTGCTGGGAATCTCCTGGTCCGTAGCCAACAAAAATTCGTCTAAAAGTCTGGCGTCCACTCACTCCCTGCACCTTCACTGGGAGCTGCAATCCTGAGCTGCTACTAGTCGGCCATCTTGGATCCCTCTCCTGTTTTTTTGAATGGCTTTGTCAATGCAGACCTACCATATAGGGAGGTCAGAGAAGCTAAGAAGATGGCATGAAGGAGTGAAGAGTGCTTACGAGACATCTCAACAGCCTGAAGAAGTACACTTTGTGAACAGTGGGGCAAAAATCATCTTAAATCGCAGAGCTAGGGAGGGAAGTGGGGAGGAGCGATGCAGAGAAAGAGGAGCTGGGAAATGGGAACATTCTCCACCCTTATTTTACTAAAGGTGTCCAAGCACTATCATGAATGTATAAAACTATTAAAAAGGTGAATCTTTTAACTGACTTTTATTATTTCACATATAAACTAGGTATAAAGCTAATGCAAAAAAAAAAAAAAAAAAGTTCACCTTGTTGAGTGAGCCTAAAACGAAGGAAATAGCACTGCAAACCCTAGCTCAGCAGGATGGGAGGACATAAATCATGAAGGTCATGACAACACCAGCTGACATCGCCCCAACAGCCCTTGGCAGCAGCTACTATGATTATCTCATTTTCTGATTAGAAAATGAAAGCACATAACCAATAAATATCTGCTGGATGATGGAATGAAATTGACTTCGGAAAAATCTGAAGTAATCTGTCCAGAGGCAAAGAGCTACTAAGGGAGAAGCTAGGTCTCTAGCCAGGTCCTTTTTCACCTTGACACTAAAACCGAGAAACAAGAACCACCATCCAAACAATGGCACAAGGACAGGGGAGGTACACCATGGCCCACAAAGTCTGAGAATGTTTAGTCAAAGCCAAAGCAGCCTCCATCACTTGCAAGATTTCCTAAGTCTCTAATACTCTATGTGCAGTACAATCTCTACAGCTGATGTAGTGACAGAGCTTCTCCAATGTATTTCGCTGTACAATCTTCTTATTTTTAGAGCACCTCAAAGAACTAATAATGTTCCATGGAACAGACATTGGAAAAACATGATCTGGGACACCAGCCATGGCAATATCCCACACACTGCCTCTCATGAAGAGCAAGCTGCAGTGACTGGAACGGGCAGCTGGACATTACCTGGACAAAGAGGTAGATCAAGAGGCAGCACAAAGCTTGGAACGGGCTTTCGACGGCCTGCAGCTCTTCTCTTGAGGAGGAAAGGTTGAAACAAGCTAGGAGTGTGTCCAAGCGCCGAACCTGTATTTCTGGCTCTTGGTTCAGCCATAGTGTTTTCAAACTAGGCGTTCCCCCTAGTTAAGAAAAAAAGTCCATTAACTATTGTTCTTTGCAGCAGCGAGTTATAATATGCTTCTTGTAGAAATACAGTAAAATGAAACAAATCTCTTCCCTTCCCATTGTAAAAGGAACTAAAAAGTAAACACCATTAGAGATTCCTGTTTTAAGAAGAAAACCCAAGCCTAAAGGGCTGGCATACAGACATTTCATTGAAAACACTCCTTCTTTAATGGCTAAATTTTGAGGGATACTGTACTTCGTACTGTTAAGAATGCTTTCAGGACATCTCTCAAATGCACTGTCTCAAGGCTGTAATAGGGAACTGCTGCCCTGTTGTATCACGGCTATGACAGAGCACTTGAATAAAACACCATCCACCTACCCCTTTAGTTTGCTCTCTTACTCTCCAAATTAAGGGTTTTCAACCTTTCATGTAGAAAAGAATCAACTGTGGAGATTGTTAAAACAAATGCATTTTCCTGGGATCTATATGCAAAAACTCTGATTTGACTGGACAGGTATGGGTGCCTAGAAGTTTGCATTTTAACAACTCAGAAGACTTGTATGCAGGAGACTCAGAAAACTGTGGACCTCAGGTTTTGAAAGCACTTTTCTAAAACTATTAAACAGAAATTCCTAAAATGTAATATTTTTAGCGTTTCACTTCTATATTTTATGTATGTTTAAATTATTAAAATCAAAAGGAAAAAAACCCTTACTCATGTACTTAAACCATGACAAATGATGAAAACTCACACAGAGCTGCAGATGCAGGCACAGCTCTGCTTCTATGCTCTGAAAAACAGAAAGGTGCTGTTTCTAAGGTCAGACTTGTTAATCTGTGACTGGCGACACGTCCTCCCTTGCTATCCACAGCTGTGATTTTCTATGAGGGCCAACATAAAATATATGCTAAAAGCTCAAGGCTGGCTGGGATCTAGATGTCCCTCTTATTTACTAAGAAAATAGAACCTACCAGCCAAATGGCATCAGAGTCAAATGACTCAAAAAAGGAATTCTTCTCTTTCTTGTCTTACGTTTCCCACAACAGCACTGACTATTCTCTGTGGTATATTTCTCGCCATCAGAAGTGAAACAACTCAACAAAAGTCACTTGCATTTCTAAAATGGCTGAAGTATTCCCCTCCACCTGAAAAGCTCTTTCATTATTTATTTTAGAGAGAGAAAAAACATTTTTCTCTTAAGAGAAAGAAAATGCTAAAGATAATTAGCAAAACAAAACAACCCTATGGTACTAGTACTTAACATAGAGATGAGTCCAAGACACTCACAAGTATCAGTAATTACTTCTTAGAAACATACTTTCAGAAAAATGATCAACTCAGGCAATGTGCACAGCCTCAGGACAAACCCAGCTCCTCCTGTTTTTCTTATGCAACCAATGAACTAAGAAGGGCTTTCGTATTTTTAAATGGTTGAAAAAAAATCAAAGTAAAAATGATATTTCATGATCCAAGAAAACCACATGCAATTCCAATTCCAGTGTCTGAGACAGAGGTTTTCCTGGAATGCCACCATGGTTGTGCATGTCAGTATTATCCATGGCTCCTTTCCCGCTTTAACGACCGACTTGAGTAAGAGAGACCATGTAGGCTGCAAAGCCTGAAATATTTTCTACATTACCCTTCACAGAAGTTTACTAGCCTCTGATCTAAGGTAAATAATGAATCTTCTATTATCATAGTTATTTCAAATACACTAAAGATTTTGAAAACATTTTTTACTACAATTCAGACACTGTAAAAATTTTTAAATAGGAAAGCGTAAAAAAGAAAATAAAAACAATCTATAATCCTACCACCCAGCTATAACCATATTTTGAAATAAAAGTTTCTAGTCCTTTTTTAATGTGTATAAGACATTTATGAACATGGCTGAAAGGTCAGGTCCCCATCAGAGTGCATAGAGATGGAGAGTAGAAAGACTTTACCTGTGTTTCACTGCTTACACATGAAAAGTTAATACCAAAAAAAAAAAAAAAAAGATTAATTACATATATTTAGTATATTTAGCAGAACCCAGTACAGCCATGTGCCACATAACATCATTTTGGTCAATGACAGATTTCATATACACTGGTGGTCCCATAAGATCATGACACCATATACATATATTTTTGAGACAAGAGTCTTGCTCTGTTGCCAGGCGCCAGGCTGGAGTGCAGTGGCGCAGTCTCGGCTCACTGCAACCTCTACCTCCTGCGTTCAAGCAATTCTCCTGCCTCAGCCTCCCGAGTAACTGGGACTGCAGGCATGAGCCACTACGCCCAGCTAATTTTTTTGTATTTTTAGTAGAGATGGGGTTTCACTATGTTGGCCAGGATGGTCTCGATCTCCTGACCTTGTGACCCGCCCGTCTTGGCCTTCCAAAGTGCTGGGATTATAGGCGTGAGCCACCGTGCCCGGCCGACACCATATTTTTACTCTACCTTTTCTATATTTAGGAATGTTTACATATACAAATGCTTGCCACTGTGTTACAGCTGCCTACAGTATCCAGCAGTCATAAGCTTCACAGGTTTGTAGCCCAGAGCCATAAGCCACATCATTTAGGTTTGTGGAAGTACATTCTATGATGTTCTCACAACAAGAGAATCACCTGGCGACACACTTCTCAGAACTTATCACTGTGGTTAAGCAATGCAGTACTGTCTAGTGGAAGTGATAAATGAGAGACTTCCTGAATGCACAATTAGGAACAGTGTTTACTTGTGACCTGTTATTCATTCCCTACAGGTTCAGACTCCATGAGATGGGCTTAGAATAACAGGTTTCCAGGTATCTGTCTAATAAAAGGAAGGAAGAAACATAAAACCTATCAATTGTTTACCAACATTTTTCCTACCATATTGTCACAAAGTTTCTATGAAGGCTGAGAACTGAAGCTCCATTCATACAGTGATACATAAAATTCTAGGTGCTCTCCTACTTCCAGTGGCCCCACATGAAAGATGAACAGTTGCTATCTTGGAAGAGCTTGCAAAAGAAGGTTGTGCACATATTAGAAGAGTGCAAAGGTATTATTACATGAGTTACTTGTCTTTTTTTGGAGATAGCGTCTCGCTATGTTGCCCAGGCTGGTCTTGAACACCTGGCCTCAAGTAATCCCCCTGCCTTGGCCTCCCAAAGTGCTGGGATTATAGGCATGAGCCCCCGTACCTGGCCTGTTAAGAGTTCTGAAGGTGAAAGAGAGTAACAAACAAATTGGGGCAGGGCACTAATAAATTTTCATGGAAGAGACTGGTGGGAAGATAGGGCTGGACTTTGCTGGATAAAGGACACTTACAAACTAAATTTATTCTGGGATTGAAGGGAGGCAACAACAGAGAGTGATAAAAGCCTTCCAGCCTTCCTGCCCTCTATCAAAGAATCCAACCAATCACATGCTAGGCACCAAAGGAGGTGCTGGAGATAGAGGGAAATGACTCACTATCTGTCCTGTGGGCGCATTTACAATCAGTGGATCACACAGACACTGACCAAATACACTCATGTCCAACTACCAAGTGTAGAGCAGAGAGCTCCAGCTGCAGGGCAGAGGCATCATGCGAAGACACGTGAGCTGAGATTTGAAGAAGGGGCAGAAATAAAGATGAGGGAGGAAAAGAAGAAGCTCAAGGAAGGGAAATGTCCTAAGTGCAGTGGGAAGACACTGGAGGGGAAGCCCAAAGGAAGGCCACCATCAAGTCTTGATGGGGGGGAGGGTGTCCGCCATTACTGAGGCTTGAGTAGGCGGTTTTCCCCTGACAGTGCTAAAGTGCTAAAGAGGCCAGGAAGTTAGGACTGGCAGGAACTCACCACAGTGTGGCAAAGGGTCTGTGGCCAGACTGCCTCTCTAGATTCCCCCTCACTGGGCAGGGCATCTCTGAAAGAAAGGCAGAAGCCCCAGTCAGGGACTTATAGATAAAACTCCCATCTTCCTGGGACAGAGCACCTGGGGGAAGGGGTAGCTGTGGGCACAGCTACAGCAGATTTAAATGTTCCTTTCTGCCGGCTCTGCAGAGAGCACCTAATCCTGGCAAGGAGGATTCTCCCAGCACAGCACCTGAACTCTGCTAAGGGATAGACTGCCTACTCAGGTGGGTCCCTGACCCCCATGTCTCCTGACTGGGATTGACCTCCCAGCAGGGGTTGACAGACACCTCATAGAGGAGAATTCTGGCTGGCATCAGGTTGATGTCCCTCTGGAAAGAAGTTTCCAGAGGAAGGAGCAGGCAGCAATAATTGCTTTTCCATAGCCTTTGCTGGTGATACTTGGGCAAGCAGGGTGTGGAATGAACCTCCAGCAAACTGCAGCAGACCTGCAGAAGAGGGGCCTGTTAGAAGGAAAACTAACAAACTGCAACAATATCAATATCAACAAAAAGGATCCCCAAATAAAGACCCCATCCAAAGGTCATCAGCCTTAAATATCAGAGGTAGATAAATCCACAAAGATGAGGAAAAGCCAGTGCAAAAACGCTGAAAATTGCAAAAACCAGAATGCCTCTTCTCCAAATGATCACGACTCCTCTCCAGCAAGGGCACAAAACTGGATGGAAAGAATGAGTTTCTTGAACTGACAGAAGTAGGCTTCAGAAGGTAGGTAATAACAAACTCCTCTGAGCTAAAGAAGCATGTTCTAACCCAATGCAAGGAAGCTAAGAACCTTGATAAAAGCTTATAGGAACTGCTAACTAGAACAACCAGTTTAGAGAAGAACATAAATGACCTGATGGAGCTGAAAAACACAGCATGAAAATTTCATGAAGCATACACAAGTATCAATAGCTGAATCGATCAAACAGAAGAAAGGATATCATAGATTGAAGATCAACTTACTGAAATAAGGCGTGAAGACAAGTTTAGAAAAAAAAGCAATGAAAAGAATTTAACAAAGCCTCCAAGAAATGTGGGACTATGTGAAAAGACCAAATCTATGATTGACTGGCATACCTGAAAGAAATGGGGAGAATAGAACCAACTTGGAAAACACACTTTAGGATATTATCCAG